AGATCCATTTTGGTTTCACCGCAAACTCAAAAGATTGCAGGTGGAAATAATATCCGGATTCGAGAAAAAAAAGCGGTTACAGGACAAAACTTTCCGGATTCACAAGTTATCGGTTTCAAAGTTCCCACTTTAAATTCCGGATTCAAAATCTCCGGAGACACGACCAAACCGGGAAGGTTTTATTTCGGATTCGTCCACTTTCGTGTAAACGGCAGAATGAATCCGGTACTAAAACGTTTCGGATTCATCACGAATCCGGAACAATTTCCTCTAGTGTAAACCTAGTCTGAGTTGATGACGCGTAAATAGGCACTGGAGAGCTGACGTTTCAAGCATGGCCAATTTAAATTACCAACTCAGTTGAGAAAACCAAATTATCATGTAAAAGAAAAAAAAAACCACTGTAGACGCAGCATCAAAGTTTGTCAAGTTTTAATTTGGAAACTTGTCCCCTTTGTTCGTGGGAACACCTTGTCATGAAAGATTGAAAACAGAGTGGAAAACAGTAATTGAATATTTGGCATTTTTTTCAATTAGTTAGAAAAAAGAAAAAAAAAAACAATCGTTGAACTTGTTTAGCGGTTTTTTTCAACGCCACTCATCAAGCAGTTACTATTCTGTCAGGAGGCGACGCGTTTGCAGTCAGCAGAGCGAGAGCTGGAACTAAATGAAGTCTCCGCGGCTTCCCGCCTAAAATTAAAATTCGAATGATCCTTTCATGTTTCGTCTCTGGTCAGATTTTAAGCTCAGATGTTGATTTCTTAGTTATTTAGGAGGGTAAAATGTTCGTGGAGAAACCCAAGGAAGAAGTATACGATGTTATTATCAATAAAGTAAGTCTTTGAGGTTGCTTTTCATTTTAAACCCTCGAAATTCGGTGTGAACAAAATTCAATATGGCTGACGTGCATGACAATTGTTTTTCCAGCGTGTTTTGGTTCTTGTATCTATGGATTTAGATTCCCTATGTGCTTGTAAGATTCTTCAGGTGAGATATCACAATTTTATCTTAGAAAGCAACTGAAAACAGCTAATTCGAATCAGATGCACCGTACTATTGCTTCGTAAATGTAAACACAAACCGCTTTTTCTCGGTATGTTCCTACCTAAAAGCTTTCTGGCAAAGAGAACTAGCGTTAGTTGTCAGGACTTTCCTCACGGGTTGTCTGTCCCATTTCGGAGTGTAATTATGATTTTACCACAATAATTTGACCCATTCGATCACTATCACCCATCACTTCTATGTGTGTACATTTGTATAAATGAAGAAACTAGTAAGTATGAGTAGCCTTACACCAAGTAAATTGTAGGTAAGTGGTGAGGACGACGTCTGAAACATGCGCGCGGATTCCTGTCTAATCCTGTACTCGGTTTGTTCCCCCCCTTTACTCTCTTTCAAAATATGTTCCTAGGCAAGATTTCCGTATAACCCCATACTCCGTTATGCATACGATTCTTGGATAAAAGAAAACAGAGGCAAAACAACGGATTTCCTTTGGGACTACGGCTTTGTTTTTGATTGTTATGGGGTTATACGGAAATCTCGCTTGTTCCTATTGCAATCAACGTTTTAAAATCTCTACAATTTCAATTATAAGTTAACTCTTGAAAATAGATAAATTTGAAAATTGCTGTGATGTTACTCAGTTCATTCTCTATTTCTGTTGTTTGCTTTTTGATAGTGGCTGTTTAAATGTGATAATGTCCAGTACACTATTGTCCCTGTTAGTGGCAAAGAGGATCTGGTGAGAGCTTATCATGAACACTTTGAACAGGTAAACAACAAAAAGAAATGCAGCTTTGCTAATGAATTATCTTTTTGTACAAGTGGATAGTATTGATATAGTATTTATTTGTTTATTTACTTATCTGCACCACTACACATAACCAGAAATAAAATTTAAGAATAAAAGAAATTATGAAAATGACCCTTTCTGTAACCACTTGACTTAGAAATAAGCAACTTAATGTGCACACAGTTGAACCTTGATTAAGCAGGACCATATAAAGCTGTCACCTCTATTATATTAAGCAGTTGTGGTCACCCTCTGCTAAGTCCTAACCGCCAGTTTGTATTGTTTTCCACCTGTATCGAATGGTCACGTAAAGTGGAACCTAAAACTAAGAAGTTAATTTTGATCAATGTTTCTCCATGTAGATTCTTTCAGGGAGATTTTGAACATAAAGTTGTTAATTATGGCATAAAGGTAGCCCTTTTCTGTGGAACCTGTTTCAAGTAGCCATCCCGCCATTCCCCTTGGGTGACCATTTAACAACTGTAGGACTTGGTGTGAACTGCCAGTTTTTCTAAGCCCATTGATTTTGGAAATTGGTTTTGATTAGTTTTTTTTTTTAAATTTCCAGTTGAAGCATATATTTTTGATAAACTGCGGTGCAAATTTGAACATTCTGGAGATGCTGGAACCAGAGGAAGATGTCATGTTCTTCATTGCTGACAGGTAATCAAGAGTGCTGCAGTATCTTGAACAGAGTACAATTTGAGAAATGTCCAATTTTACTTTCCTTCTTATATTTAAGTCATAGGCCCATTGATTTGGACAACATTTATAACCAGGATCAGGTTAAGTTACTAATGAAGGAAGGGGAACACCTCACAGTCCCTGACTTTGATGACATTTATGCTGACTCAGAGGTGATAACTACTTCTATTATATATCTCAATTAATAGAATAGAACATTATGACTGGTCAGTTTGGGAGACCTTATGTCACTGTATGGTCTGCTTTATTCAAAAGTTTGTTTAAGTTTGTAGTGCATATAATATAATGCCAACACTGATTTCTTGGTCCATACTGCTAATTACACAACCTCATTTTCTGCTCAGGTTTATCGCCTGCATGCTTTGTGCTCTGGCCATAAAGCAGAGTGGAAAAAACCTGGTCTGTATCTTATAGTATGGACTTTGATCTCAGTAGAAGTGTGTCAGTAATGTTTAAATATAACATAGTTTGGTTCCTTTGGTTTCTAACATAGGAAAACTGGTCTATTCTTATGGTGTGATTGTTATTAATGATTTTGCAGGATGAATTTGGAGACTCAGATAGTGATGAATCAGAACCCTTCTCCAAAAGAAGAAGAACAGGAGAGGGGGTAATTTCATCTTATGATGCTCACTGCTGTCAATGGCTTCAAGACCAAGTTATTAAAAAGCTGTTCCATTTAAATGACTTAGTAAAGTTTTGTCACATATTAGATGTATTTTTTCAAATTAGTTTATAGAAGTCACTGACTGCAAAATAACTTCTGTGTGCTTATTTTTGGTTTTTAAGGACTCTCCAGTTTCAAAGCGAATGTCAAAAAGACAATGGCACCAAAACAGGTTATTATTTTATCTGATCATGATTATGATTGACTTTCCTTCTGTGTGTTTTTCTTACTTGCCTCATCAGAAACAGGTAAATTTTTTCTCTGCTGAGATAAAGGAAACAATAAGAATGTGTCACAGTTAAAAATGTAATTAATTTTTAATTATCTTTTACTTCCACAGACAAGAGATTCTTTATCAGTATTATGCCTATGCCTTCCATGGAAGTTCAGTGAGTATTTGATAAAAAGTTATTTATTGATAATCTTCCTGGTGTATGTAGGACACCTCAATGGTTCAATCAGATTCCTTGTCTGGTTGTTGAGCTAAGGACTGACTCTCTGTTTTCCACAACTTCCTACAATGCTCAGAGGACAGACATGATAGACCAAGAGCATTTTTTTGAAGCTTTTCTTTCCTTTCAGATCCCTGAATTTGCTTATGATCTTGCCCTTAGCATCAGAACAATATCTAACGCTATCAATAACTTCACACACCTCTATTCCTTTAGAGTTAACATTGAAGTTTATCGGCAAAAATTATTCAGCCTTACAGCAGCAATTTTTTAATATTCTCTCCTTGTTTTTTTTTTTTTTTTTTTCAGGCATCCTTGGTCATGTATGAATTGGCTTGGAAGATGAGTAAAGACAGTAATGACTTGCTATGGTGGGCAGCGATTGGACTGACTCATCAATATCTATACGAAAAAATTGATAGGTAAGATGGTCAATGCTGTATCATTAGTGTATACTGTATGTCCAGGTTGTGAACTTCTTGCTACTACCAATAAATTGTGTTCTTTGGTTGGAGCTTTTACTCTAACAGTGGTGCCACAGGCATTGTTTCCCTTTTGTTAAGCATGACAGGTCAAATTAATGTTTAAACTGATAAAGCAATCCTTTTACCTGCTGGATTTTCAAGAATTACAGGCAATTTATGGCTGTAATAAGAGGATATATCAACAAAGTTGAAATGGTAAATTGGCCACTGTAACGATTACAAAAGCTGACGTTTCGAGCGTTAGCCCTTCGTCGGAGTTGATATATCCAAATTATGTCCAACGAGAAGCCTGGGTGACCACGTGACTCAAAAAAAATCATCCGATTCCGCTGGAGATAAATAATGAATCGTTCCTATTTTTTTCGTTAAGACAAAGACAATGCTTCTGTTTCACACGTACGTTTGCAAACATTGACAGTCACTGATGTGTCATGAACACAATGGTTACATCTACAGCGCTCGATTGGGTTTGGAAATTATATTTTCTATTTGTTGTTGTTGTTTTTTTCATAAAGATCTCTCCGCTATATTAGTGTGGACTGGGCTGACTCACTAGTTTCGTTCCCCAGACAGTCTCAGTTTGTAAGAGTAATGGAAAATGTTTTTGTCTTTAACTTCTTATCAAGAACAGAAATTATATGGTTTGATGAAACGTGCAGATAGCGGAGACATCAGGAAAAAGGCCTTTAAGCTTTCAAAAGATTTGTTACAGTATTTCCTCTTGCAGAGGGAAATGTTCCTTTGCAATTTTTTCTTATTTAGTGACATTTTAGCGACAAATTTATGAAGATCATTGGCAGCAATTCAAGTATCTGGCTTGCTTAGGGAAAATAAATGCACCTTGAAAAAAATTAGTTAATCGTTAATGGCAATACTTTTGGCATCGATTAAGAGACTAGCTCTGTAGAGCTTAATCAGAAATAGCCTGCCGAATTTCAAAATTATTGTTATAAAAAAATAATCCTCATCATAACGAGAAAGAGGATTATTGTTCAAGTAGTAGGAAGTAATAATCTCAAAGAAATTAAACCTCTGAAACATTTAGAAATCGAGAGAAATTTCAGGGAAAAGACAGAAGATCATGACTCGGTTTCGAAAGTCGGCGTGTAATATATTAATCGTAATATGCCAGTGACAGTTGCTTAAAATGATGAAATATCAAAAAAACTGCCAGATCTTAGGGTTTTAGTCAGTACAAATGATTGTTTAATTCAGTCTTACATTCAACACGAAATCTGGTACACGTTCGACTGGCAAAGTGTTGAAGTAGAAAGAGTGTGTCTGACTCTGCTAGCTCATCTTTCTCCGTAATGTAACCATTTTGGCTCCTAAATTTGCTTGCCTCGATCTCCAGCGATTATAACCTTTATCACAAAGATTGCGTTATCTTACCGAACAGTTGACGTTTTCTCCTAATTCTTCGTATTAAATGTCTCCAGGTGTCTCGCTTTCATTCACTTATCGAAACTAGTGTACGTCACATGGAGTCACAGAGAAATTTGAAATGTTTCCGTTTATGCATTAATTACGGCTACAAACACCGAGATATTTGTCATGTACCGAAGATATCTAGAGAAATAGAAAGGAAGGCATACTGGGTAACTTCTTCTCGATATTTAGGCGCGCTCTTATAGAGACACTTTTTAAGTTTAAATTATTAATATTGGTGAAGTGTTTTAAACTGCGGTTAGAAAACTCGTTTTCGCTGATATGTGGTTGAATAGTTCTCGTCCTTTCTTCTACGCAAAACAAATATCGGCTTTGAGGTTTTTTTCATCGAGGAGAAAATTTAGCACTGCTGAGATACGGTAACCAACAATCGAAATGGTTGTCTTTGGAGACGCGGCGAGAAAGGAACTGTCGAATGGAACTGAAAGAACCCATTCGTTTTTGTCACGCAATATCGTAATCTTTTGAAGATAAAATGTAAATTTTGTTTTTACTCTCGGAAGTTTAAATTTATCCGGGAATTAACTCAGCGCAGTTGAAAAACGAAGCATTTTTTTGGGTCAATATGCTGGAAAAGAACGATAAAGGCCCACGATTTCCGATCGATGTGCGTAAGTTTGTCCTCTCAAGGAGTTCAAGTTTGTTTTTCCAGGCAAAATACGGTAGTGGCAGTAACAATTTTATACGACACCCTTTCAAATTTGTAAAGACATCATTACATCCTTTGCATTGGGAAAGCAAACAGAGGCAATATCCCTTCGAAAGCCTAAGCTAGGGCGACCTAATATCGTAAAATCAAATACACCAGACTTTTGATCAAATTAAAACCTCCCAGTGTTTTATTAAGAGACATCATATGCCATTGTTCACCGTTCGCCATCAGCTAAGAGTAAAGCGTAAAATATATTAATCCCCCGTAAGCCAGCAGTCTTTTAATTTTCAGCGCCGCAATATATAAAACTGAAACGGGAACATGCTGCAGTTAGACACGAAAACATGGCAATGACATGCGACAGCTTAATTCACTCAATATAGAGTTTTTCGCTCATTTAAGAATCGAAGTCTAACCCAGAAAACTTGAAAAGATTGCGATAAGGTCATTAAAGAAAGAAATAAAAAAACCATTGTTTTTTACTCCACTAAAAAAGTTCAAAGAAATCCGGCCAAACATTTCCCCGCTGCAGCAGAAATCAAGATAAAATTGCAAATGAACTTTCGCCGGCCTTAAATTATGAATTTATCGAAAGGAAGATATCGAAGGTAATGTGATGGTTTCGTTTAACGATAGTTTTTCTCTCAGACGTTGGTATTTAAAATTAATAGCTTGATGTTTTTCACAGAGATTAAAGTTTTGTCGCCTGGGAAGTGATGAAATTTCACTCCACCAAAGTTTGTTTGTATCTCTCTTTCCCTTTAATCGGTGGGCCATTTCAGAAAAGCACCTGCATCCAGTTCGAGTTGATAGCGATCTATTTTCCTCTCACCAGGCGTAGTGGAGCTGGCAGAGATCCCTTATGCTAATTATTCTTCAATGTCGCGCTTTTAAAAATGACCGCTCCAGTTCACCAGTATATTGTCTTGATGTCAGGTACTTTTCAATGGAATGTGTTCCGTTTCCTCGTCCGAAATCTCCTCATCTAATTGATTATCTTGAGTGTATTTTTTCCCGCAAAATCGATTAGACACGGCAACGAACATGACGGAAAGAACTATAAAAATAAACAAATGCCATGCGAAAGCGATCGACAACACTTCTACGTTGGTGGAGGTGTTTCTCCAAGGGTTGGGGCCATATAGGACAAACGCAATTTGGTAAAACCAAGACCCTTGCACAGCTACCAAAACAGCCCTCATTAGCGAAAACAACGACTGATGTTGTGTAAAAAAGACATCAGCCAGAAACAAGGCCGCTGTGATGAAAATCACGAGGTAGAGAATGGTGTGTAAGCGGACGCTTATTTCTGAATGGCCTTGAAGGTGAAAATAGAACAGGAATCCTTCGATCCAGAAACACACGGACATGATCACATAGTCAGTCATTGGAGGTAGAGAAATTACACCGTACCACATCATAAGGTCAATCACACCAGACAAGCCGAAGAAACAATACATAGCAGCATGGCTGTGATTGTTGATGTTGTCTTCCATGAATTCTCCATTGTTGCCGATTAAGGTCCAAGACTGGTGCAAGGCGAGTTCTCCGAGAACCCCCAGAAACGCACAGAACACCTTTAAAATGGGTTCTAGGGGAATCTTCGAAAGAGTTTTTCCGGGACATGGGTACCAGACAGGTGTGTGGGTTTTTAATCTCGTGCACGTTGTGCCGCTTGAAAGAAGCAAACCTCGTTTAGTTTTCGTGTTCTGATGCTTTCGAATAAGAGCACCTATGAACCACCAGACGGATAACAGCAGAAACATAGATCCAGGCGCTGCGTGACCTATGAAGCTTCCCATTACTTTCAAAACACACACACTTAAGACTGCTGTGAATTGAAGGGCGGTCGCGCGTCGTTAAAAGCGTGTTTATATCCACGGACCAATGTTATTGTGGATTGGCGTGTAGCTATTTAGCATTAATGTTGACAATTCACAACAAGCTGATGCAATCAATTTGTCAACGGGCTCTGCGCTTGATCGGTGCCCAGCGAAAAAAAAAAAAAAAAACTCTTTTTCCAGTTTTTTGCCAGTTCGGCCCTTGGCTATAGACAAATTAGAAATTCGCCCTCGGGAATGTTGTTTGTAATGTCACCTTACGATGTGAAATGCACACATCATTTTGGAAAAAAAATTAATTTGTTGAACTGTTTACTGAAACGAGGTCAAATTTTAAACGGTAAGAACAAAAAAAGAATACGGCCACAAGAAAACTTGAAAAAGAAATGACACGCTATCAATTTCACATCATGCAGGTCTGCCTATGTGATCAACTATCAATTTCTCATCACATGCAACTGCAAAGTCTTGCTCTGTTCATTATCTGCTTAGGATGAGGTCGCCTGAAATTCTTGAAAATTCTGACCGCTGATAAGGTTGGCTGGTTACCAGGGACTCTCTTGTAATTCCTCCGGCGAAAACGTCAGAGTTTGTTTTAGCAAAGTCCTAGTTCGAAACGAGTATTTTATGTCTTGATCACTGGTCTGATCAAATGAAGGACTAGAGTCGTTTATATGTGTGGCGTAAGTTTGGCCTCTAAATGGAAATAACGTCGGTAAAAAGAGCAATAAACTTCTCTCTGAATTTATCAAAAAAAAAAAGAGAAAATTTTCGAAACCTTGTTTAAGAGAGAGAAATAACGATTTGATGCAATCAGATCAGTAGGGGTAGAGAAAAAAGAAAAAAAAAAAAAAACTCAAGATATTCTTGATCGTGATCCTTCACTGCCATTAGAGCTGGTTTGCGGTTCGTTAAATCTTTTTATGCAGAATGATTCAGCTGGGCCTTCTCTCATTCATCAGTTAAAAATTTGGGTGACTTATTATAAACTGCTCAGCTACTTTCGAGTACGTTTAAGCACACCTGTACGCTTAACAAAGTCCTTTACGAGTTGTTTGTATGTTATCTCTGTTTCACAGGCCTTTACTCTGACCAATTAATTTTCGACGTTGTCAGTGCCTGATATCCCCAGGCGAGGGCAGCCAAAGCAAATCCCTCATCTACCATTTATCAAACACGCAGAAAATACGTAATCACCCAGTTTCCCGTTCTAAAATGGAAAAATAATGAAAATCTTAAAACCTAGTTGTAAAATGGCTTTAGGCACCGCAGCTTTTGAAAGCGATTGAAAAAGAAAAGGTGTCTATATGAGATGACCTTAAACCAAACATTTCCAGCTTTTTCTATATATCCTTGTTGGTTCTGTCTTGTCAAGAACTACAGCCGTAAAGCTGCGCTGTTCTACTAATGAAGTGAGTTCATGAGAATTCTCAGTTTCCGTCAAATGTCTCTCAATGTAATTCCTGCGATAATTTGAAATCCGTAAAAAGCATACAAAGTTCAACCAAATCAGCAATTTTTCTGAACTCGCCTTTAAAGGTGATTGATTACCGTGAAAAACTTAATTTTTGGCGGAAATTATTCGTTGCTATAATAAAAAGGGGAGGTTACCTGGGAAACCCCGAAATGCGAGGTCTCTGATTGGCTTTCTTATAGGCAACCCCACGGGCGAAAAATTAAAGTGTTTTGAAAAACAGGCAATTTTACAATTCATAGTAGCCTTGTTTTTATGGCCCTTTAGGTCGGTTCGGCTTTGTAGACATCTGCTGAACAGTTAATATATTTTCTTTTCAATTGCAAATTTAGCTCAGGAAATTTGGCTTACTCGACTCACTGAAATGTCATAAACGGCGGTATTCTGTCGGAAGTAATATAATCTTAACTTAAAGTTTGGATTAATCATATACATTAACGTTAATTTCCTTATGTCTTAGTTATCACCTAGCTTTTTCTTCTAAGGGGAGAGTTTAATGCAAAACGAGAAAGGTTCCGGTGAATAAACTGCATCTAAGGAAAATTGCTCATAAGATGGCACGCAAAGTAGATGATGGTATAATGGATAATTTGGTTTTATCAACTGAGACTAGGTTTACACTAGAGGAGAGTTTTCCGGATTCGTAAATGTTTCCGGATTCATCAATTTTGGAGTATTCGGATTCGTAGGCGTTTACACTGAAAGGATATTCGGATTCCTGACCGTTTACACCCAACGACAACTCCGGGAACATTCGAAATGGAATGGTTACCAAGCCCAGTGTTGTTTCGTCGTTCGATCGACAAAGTGAAAATGCCTCCCCCAAAAA